CAATTTGATATGTTCTACTCTAAGACTGCAACAACCTACTGTATCTGCTTCATCCTCATCCTTATCATTTCCAACTCTCAATGCCAATTTATCTATCAAATAGGTTGCTGTTCCTAATTATCTTTCTTTAATTGAATCTGATTGTAATTTCTTAGTGTAATTTTCTCTAATTTGATCAATTTAATTCTTCAATCTCCTTGCCTTCTCATACTTCCTCTTATCATTCATCTACTTAAATCTTGAAGTGGCAGCAAATTGAACATATTTATGATTGTCCTTTCTGATGCTTGAATCCACATAAGAAAACAGCCAAGTGACATCATTTCTATGCACAATCTTGCCCCAAGAATGACCAGGTAATTTACATTAAGGCACTGGTGCTTAAGTGCTTAGATTCACTGTTAATTCTTCTGGAAATATCCTGGCTTTCAATAACCCAGCCTTTGGATGTTCCCCTCGTCCCTTGAATAAAGTGGGCTATTCCAGTGTGTAATTACCTACTCTTTCCAAACAACCATCCACCAAAGCATATCCATAAAACAACTCCCTTTGATCTCTTTCTAATTTCTCCTACTTTTTTTATTCATCTGATTTATTCAATCTCAATAATCTTTGCTATTCCAAATGTTCCCTTATCTTTGTGAAATCAGCCTTGTCCAATTAAAACCCTTCAAATTTAGTCTGCATTAGAGATTCAAAATTCTTCCTATAAATTTCCTTATTTTCATATGGAGATCCAATCGATTACGCCCAATACGTGCAAAGTTCTTCCTACTCCTCCGTCAGGGTTATCAATTTCCCATTGTATATCAAACCCACATTATGTCTCTTATAAAATGGAGGAAACAAAACTCCATGATGTTCTAAGTACCTCCACTCCTAACCCTATTGTTCTTCTTCTTCAGATTCCTCAGGATTGGCTTCTTCCCACCAGTTGTGTGATCTTGCTTGGAATCCCCCCAAACGAATCTCTTTATATTCATCAATTTTGATTTTCTTGTCACCCATTTTATATTAAATAATTTAATTTCTTATTTCAAATATCAATGCCTGATCTATTAATACGAACTAATTTTATTAATAATTCATAAATCAAAGCACCTCCTCAGTATCTCCTTTCTTAATATTTTGGAATTCATAAAACCTTGCAAATATTATTATTATAAAAATAATGTAACAGGAGGAAAGAAGGATAACCAAAGACTATCTTAAAAAGCTGTTAAGAAAGGAATTCAAACTCTATTACACCACTCCTGAGCTTAATGATTGTCTTTACTTGCATTACAAAGGTTTTGAAAAGATTGAAAATCTCGAAGAGTTCACAGGATTAAAAGTAATTTATTTGGAAGGAAATGGTCTTAACAATATTGAAGGTACATTGATACAAAAATCATAGGACTTGATTGTTTGATTTCTTTAAAATGCTTGTATTTATAGGAGAATGTAATCAGGAAAATTGAAAACTTGAACATGCTAACTGAGTTAATTAATCTAAATCTAAGTGATAATATGATAAGCAAGATCGAAGGGTATGATAATTCTATTAAACAATGTAGGTTGGAATAATGCTAAAAATTATAGACTCTTTAAATCAAAAGAAATAGAATTGGATTGAATGGACTTAGCGATTTGGAAGGATTGCTATGCTTACCAAATTTATCAGTGTTGGATGTATCAGATAATAAAATAGATGACCCAAATGTTTTGGATGAAATATTTTTGAAAATGCCTCAATTATCAGTGTTGTACTTCTAGAACAATACAGCTGGGAAGTAGATTCAACACTATCGAAAAACACTCATTAGTAGAATTAAAACACTAAAGTATTTGGATGACAGACCTGTCTTTGATGATGAAAGAAGTAATATCTTTAGATACAAACCATTTAGGATTTGCTGAGGCCTTTGCCAAAGGAGGACTAGATTTGGAGAGAGAAGAAAGACAAAAGTATAAGAAAGAGCAGGAGGAAGAACATATGAGACAACATCAGAACTTTAAAGATATGATTCGTAGATACAGAGAAGAGTAGTAATAATAACAAGAATCATAATAATAAGAAGAATTATAATAAGTTGATAATGTTTCTGAAAATGAAGAACCTTCACATTTATCAACTTATAATACTTAATCGAATGCTAGTGATGTTAGATCATCTGCTTAACAATCCGCTCAACATTCAGAACATTAATCAGAGAAACACTCAGATAAGTAATCAGACAATCAATCCGAAAATAATTCAAGAATTGCAGATGGACACAGTGAACACAGAAGTGTAGATGGAGATTAGAAGAGTGTAGATGGTGCCAGTGATCATGGTAGCGAATAAGTAGAGATTAATGCAATAGGAAATTTTGGGCAGTCAACTCAACTTGATGAAATTGATTGATATATATATGTAAATAAATATAAATGGAGGATTATCGAAGTGCTATTAAGAAATTGAAATTGCAAGCCTAATAGTTAGAGTAGGAAAATAATGAATTAAAGGTTAAGTTGGCTATGCCTGCAGATGAAGAATTGCGAATACCATAATTTGAGGTTATCTTGTCTTCAAATACTTCTCAATTGTACATCCGTGAAAAGGTATTGAAAGAATTATAAAAATGTTGCAATGAAAGAGGAATGACAGTTGAGATGCTTTTTAGATGTGCAGACAAAAGATTTACCGGTAAATTGACTATTCAAGAATTCAAAGAATTTTTAGATTCATTTTTTGATGGAAGAATAGATGGAATCACTCTTCAAAAGGTAGCTTTACTATTTGATGATGATTGCAGTGGATTCATAATGAGGGAAGAATTCTATAGGGTTCTAATGTATTGTAAATGTAATGCTGAAGAACATGCCTATATTCTAAATACTCAAGCTATGAAAATGGGTTAGCCTCAAGATGATCCAGCAAAAATTTAGGAAAGAGTCCTGGAGAAATTTATTAAATATGTCTAAGGTTTGAAGAATACTCCCAAAGGCATTGTAGAATAAATCGATTATTAGTAAAAAGGATACATTACAACAGATGATTTATTGATGGCAATGAAAAATGACTTTGGCTCCAATGAGATCTTTATAATCATGAAGTACTTCGACATCAAACAATTGAACAAAGTCAAAGATGATGATTTTTTATTTGATCTCAAGGAATGTCTTAATCCCAACAAAACTGCATAGCAATTATTAGCTCTAAGAGAAAATAACACTGGTTTACGCATTCTTTAGGATATGAGAAAATTTAGACAGGTCTTAAGATAATATAAATTGGATCCTATGATGATTTATTATTAATGCTATCCAAAAGATGTGTAAAGAAAATAAATTACAGATTTGGCAATTGCATTTAGTAAATACATGAAAGGAACTCAATTTGATTAGATTATGAATTGGATGAGGTTAATCGATACAAGTTAAGATGGGGCTGTTGATATTGAAGAGTTTAAAATGGCAATTCTTATTGAGGAGGATCTGGCAACTTATCAGTAGTTAAAGGTTGAAAGACAAGAATAAATTGAACCAACTCTGATTGAGGTAGTCATCGAGAAAATGAAGAAGAAATAAGTTGGATTGGAAGAGTTCTTTGATTGGATTGACACTGATAAAAGTTAAATTGTAACTGTTTTAGAATTGAGAAAAGGGTTTTTAGCATTGAATATTGATATTGGATATGTGCTTAAGCTGTTAAAATTGTTTGATAAGGATTAGAAAGGGTAAGTGGACATATGTGAGTTTTACGAAGCTTTTGGTTTGGAATACAAGGAGGAGACTGATAGAATAATTATGAAAAAGGCCGCCAATAAGTTGAATAATCTTTTTATTAAGAATTAAACTAATTTTGTTGCAGGAATGAAAAAATTGCTGTATACTTTCAATTAGTCTTGTCCAGTCATTACATGTGAAGAGTTTCTCTTGGCAATGGATACGGTTAAGGATAAGTGTAATTTAATGGATGGAGAAATATATAAGATGATGGAATTTGCAGATACGGAAAAAAAAAATCAAATTTAATTAAACTCATTTTGTAATTATTTATATGGTCTACTCTGAGTATTTTTATGTTCTCAAAGCAATTATTTTATGATATATTATAATATTTAATTATTCATTACATTCTTTATGCAGCACTATATTTAACAGTATTTTATTTAAATTTGGTTTTATATCTATCAGATTCCTTATTTGCTTGGGGTTATGCAGAATTATTATGATCTAAAGTAAATAAATTAACAGCTGAGTGACTAGTCATCATTGATGTTTATGAATTTTGAACTGGTTAGGCTGAAAATAGATCAATTGTGCGTGGTTTATTTTGATCATCAGCTGAAAATGATCCACCACCTAAAGAGTTGGTTTAAAATAAAAAATTATTATTGTTATTGTTATTGTTATTATTACTGTAATTTTATTATTTCTATTAGTTGAATCCAAATAAATCATTTGTATTCGTTTGATTTTATTAGAAGGTTTAATATACAGATTGAGATTACTAGGTATTACCTTAATTAAAAACATTCTAACTAAATTGATTTGTAGAAAATGGATTAGAGGATGCTTGTACTTATTGGGAGAAGAAAGATTAGTTGGAAAACACCTGTTATTATATTTATGGTTCTTACTAAAATGGGAAGACAGGTTGTTATTATTATGAAACAAAGGGAGTTTGAAACTAATTTTACATTGGTTATTATTGGAATAGATTAAATGTTGATTAGTCTTATGGTGGTTGATTAGTGATCCATGGAGCATTAAAGAGGGTGGTTTCAATATTAGAAGTAAAGGGATTGACTTCAATAGCAGGTGGTAATGTTTATGGCTATGGTTCTATTTTTTATTAAATGATAGTATCCTATTTGACCTCTTATAAGGGCTGTTAAATTGATTCTATTGGTGCTGATGATTATTATTTTTATTATACTTATTGTAATTATTCATCTGTATTTTTAGTGTTATTTTCTAATTATTTAACTTACTAAATTTATTAAATTGGTTGCTGCTATTCATAACTGGGTGAAATGGGTTTTGCATCATTTGAAGGTGTTTTGGGATTGTACTCAAATTCCTATTTTTTTAATTTGTTAAATCTTGTCGTTGGTTATTTCTTTATAATAATGGATTCGGATGCACTTTGATTTCCCTCCTCCTCACTAGGTTTTATAGTATTCTCTGATTTTTGGACTGTTTTTCTTCCGTTTTCAAAAAGAGGTTCATCTTGGACATCAAAGATAACGCTGTCTGTTCTTCTAATTGAGATTTGGGAGGACTTCTTCTTTTTTTCTTCAAATGGAGCAAAGTCATTTTTTATTACACTGATGGGTTTGTCTTCCAAATACTGGAGGAACTGTTTTTTCTAAAAGTTGATTGATGCCTTTGATTATGAGAGTGTTTAAGTGTCATAGGTTTGATTTTTAGTGGGTTTGGATTGAACTTTAAAAAAAGTTGGATTGGATGCATCATTTTAGGAACTCCATCTTTAACTATAAGAGGAGTGATCTTGAGATTGATCTTCTCTCTTCCATCTAGGGTTGCTTATTTTGTGATCAATAGCAGGTTTCTTTAAAGTTAATAGAAAGCAATATTACTTCATCTTTATTAATCTAATATTAGATGGTTGGGCATTTAGAGCAATCGGTTCCTTTGACAATTGTTTTCTAATAATCATTTAAGCGGATTAGAGATTTCTTGTAGGGATTAAGGCGTTCTTATTTCTTTTCGATTTGAACGAATTTGTTTTTGAGGTTGTATTAAGAGTTTGAAGATTGTAAGTCTTGTGGAATGGTTATTGATGCTTGGGATGAATAATCGATTTATGGACTTGCATTTAAGCCCAAGAATGATTTAAAGCTCTTTCTCATTCTTTCGAAAGACATTAAAATCAAATTTAAAATTATTCATTCAATTTATTTATATTTATTTTAAGTTCAAATAAAGTTTGATAAAGTAATCCCAATGAGAAATTAATTATTTAATTTAAATAGAAATGACAAGTATTTGTGAACATATCATTGAACAACACATCACATGGTCAGTCTAGGGACAGATGATATACAAGGATCAATGCACTCGATGTTTTGTGGAAGCCAAAAGTGACAATGGTATACAGGTGTGTTTGAAATGTTTTAATGGAGGTTGTATTGAAATGCACAGTCCTCAGCATAGTGATCAACATAATCATTACGTTGTTTTGAACATCAGATTATTTGAGATCGAATAACCATAACAGAAAGTGGAGGAGATTAATAAACTAGTGATTGCCGACATTCCATAATTGGAGTGTGAAACAAGTGTGACTTGTTTGAAATGCTAGAAAGCATTGAATTCTCCAGAGTTGGATGGATTGGTTTAGTCAATTAAATAAGCCAATTCTGCATTTAAAAGACAAGCAATAGCATAATGGGAACACACAGCTTAACCATGCGAACATACATTAACAATGGAATAGATACCATTGGTTGAGAAGAATTTATAAAAATGTAGAAGTTGTCATTTGTCATCTAATTTATGGTTATGTTTGTATTGTGGACATGTAGGTTGTGGTAGAAAAGTGTACGATGGATCAGGAGGAAATAATCATGCTGTTGATCATTCTAAGGAATTTTAACATCATTTGGTTGTCAAATTGGGAACAATCACATCGGATGGTAAAGGTGATGTATTTTGTTACAAATGTGATGATGAGGTAGTTGATAACTTTCTTAAAGAGCATCTGGCTACTTATGGAATTGAAATTGAAAAGTAAGTGAAGACAGAAAAAACCATTGCAGAATTAACCTTGGATGCCAATTTATCATTGTAATTGAGTAAATTGATAGAAGAGGGTTAAGTGTTGGATCCAATCTTTGGACCTGAATTCACAGGAATTGATAACATTGGAAACACATGTTATATGAATTCAGTTGTTTAAGTATTGTTTAGTATACCAGAATTCTAAAAGTTGTACTCTCTTGAACATTAATTCAATTGCAATAGATTGCCATACAATTGTATTTTGTGTCAGATCAGCAAGGTTAATCATGGTCTTAATAGTGGTGAGTTTTCAATAAAAAAGGTAGCCAAATCTCCTTTGGATACTGAAGGAGCCTAAAAGGATTTCTACTAAGATGGAATCAGATTGTATGATTTCAAGCAATTAGTAGCAAAGGGAAATCAACACTTTCTTTCCAATCATTAATAAGATGCATTAGAGTATTGGCAATTACTGAACTAATTCTTTTAGAAGACAGAAAAATAATTCAAATTAGAATAGTTATCCACTATCTTCTCATTCGATTAGACCACTATACTTTAATGTGTGAATTGTGGGGGACACAAAACAAATAGTGTCAAAAATTAAGAATTCAAAGTGCCTGTTGAATAGCCTACTTAGGAGTAGATTAATCTCTATTATGCTCAAGAGAAATAGAAGTATGAGGAGAGAATCAAAACTATGAGACCAGAAGACATAAAGCCATTCGAATTGAATGATTTACCTGAGTATGACACAACCTTTGAAAAGTGTTTGTAATTAGTCAAGGAAGGAGAACGAGTAGATATGTTTTGTCCTAAATGTTAATCTCTCTAATTATTCGTGAAATAAGAGTATTTTAAGACTTTCCCTAAATATTTATTTGTACCTGTAAATAGATTCGTTTAAGAGAATTGGGTTCCCAAGAAATTGAATGCATCTATTAAAATTTAACAGTTCTATGATTTTGCTGAATTCAAAGAGCCTGTGTTGCAAGATAAAGATGCTTTGAAAGAGTAATCTGCATAGGAGTATACAGAGGAAAACTTGTAGACTTTAATCGGAATGGGTTTTGGAGAGAACAGATGTAAACGAGCCTTGATCAAATATAAGAATGACGTTGAAGCTGCTATGATGTTTATTATGGAATCTTTAGATGATCCAACTCAAGATTAACCATTATAACAAAAACAATAAGGATAACAAATTAACGAAGAGTTTGTGGAATAAATAGTTGTAATGGGATTCAGTCCAGAATAAGCTAAATTTGCATTATCTAAGACAGTATATAATTAGCATCTATATATAATAGGATAATAATTTGGAGAGAGCTATGGATTACATCTTCAACCACGACCTAGAAGCTGAGATGAGTCAGACCCAAGAGAAGTAACAATAGAAATAAGATCAATTTGAAAATCAAACATCTAAATATGAATTGTTTGGTATCTGATCCATATTAATTTGTAGCCTGTATCGTCCATTTAGGGAAGTCTGTTCACTGTGGACATTATGTATCCTACATAAGAAAGAATGGAGAATGGATCCTATTCAACGATTCAAAGGTTGCCAAGTCTGCAGAACCAGCATTACACAAGGGTTACATGTACATCTTCAGAAGACTGGATTGATCATTTTGATAATTATAATTATAAAAATAAAAATTAATTTTCATGTATAATACTTCCTTCTATTTTGCTTCTCCTTAACCATCCTATATTCAATCCTCTTATGTTAGATATGCTCATCCACCAGTCAAAACCATCATTAAGCCATAAAATATCCAAATTCAACATTCTGTCAGATCTCCAATTCCATATTAACCATTATAATAACCATACTCGTATTCCTTCCATCTACATTAACCAGTTACTCAATAGTTTTAGTCCAGGCAATCCAAGCCAGCTCCACAATCTATGTCCACTTATTAGGCAGCCCCATAATATTAATATTAACCTCAATATTCTCAACCTCCAATCCTATCATAATAGGAAGACGATCTCGAAAAGAAGTTCCAGGATGCAATCGATAGAACCAGGGATCTGGTACAGAAGTACAATTAACCATAACCAAAACAAGAAGAACAATAACTACAGGATCTGGCTCTGTAATATGAAGACGGATACATTTATAGAGGACAAGGTCATGATCCAGCAATAGAGTAGGCTTTGGGGTTTTGACTGACTAAAATGACAATGAAGTCTATAGTGGCAATTGGCAAGACAACCAATACCATGGGTAAGGAAAACTGATCAACTCATCGGCAGAAGAAATCAATGGTCCTTTCGATTTTAGGGATCTCAATATCATAGAGAATGGATGGTTAAGTTACGAAGGAGAGTTCTTTTAAGGGAAGATGCAGAGGAATGGCACTTTGTATCTTACTAATGGAGAACGCTATGAAGGGCAATTCAACGATGGTATGATTGAAGGGAAAGGAGTATTTGTAACTCAGGATGGATAATAAATTGAGGGAGAGTGGAGAGAAGGCATATTAGAACATTGATTGTTATAGTAAGTATGTATTTAAATGATTGAGATTTTCTATTTTGTTATTAATTAAATGTAATGCATCCTCACTATATTATTTAATAACTTAGTCTATGGTAATAGTAAATTTATATTGATATTTAATTTATGATTCAAGAACAAGAACACACTGTCACCTTGGTGATTAATCAATCTATAGAGATGGGTGAATTTGGAATATAAGAAGCCATTTAGCTATTCGAACTCTTCGGATTGCCATACTAGGAGTTGTTCAAATAGTATTTCCCTATACATCAGTTTCCCAAGAAATATGAAATTACATCTCAAACTCTAGGAAACTATCCTTTTGTGGATGTGCAATTGAGGGATCTGGATTTAATTCACAAGGTTTTGAATCGATCCATCTTGCTTCATGATATCCTATACACCTTGAGTAGGGGCAATACATTAGAGGAATTAGCACAGAATCTATTACCACAAGCATTGCAATATGTCTAAAATCCTAATCTCTCTTGTAAATGCGACATCATAACCTCCTATTTCAAGATATCTTAAGAGAGGAGAGTAGAATTGATCGAGTAAGTGTTTGGAGAGAAGGGATTCAAATCTCAAAATACTATTAATTTAACAGATCCAGACATTCTCTATTATGTGATCATCACTAAAGATCAAAAGTATATTGCTGGTTGTACCTTGACAAAGAAAAAGAAGAGAAGAGAGAAGAATTTTGCAAGAAACTATGAATTGCCAAATCGAATATATCTAGGTCCTGTGTCCTTGGCTCATGACTTAGCATTCTTGATGGCCAACCAAGCCATAGTCTAAGAGAATGATTTTGTATTCGATCCCTTTGCAGGAACAGGCAGTTCTTTAGTTGCTTGTTCTCATTTCGGAGCCATTTGTTTTGGCTCAGAAATAGATGGCAATGTAATTTATATTGACTATCTCTAAGCTCATGAAAGGACATTGCATAGGCTATCTCAATAAGAAGAGCACATATCTCAAAGATCCCAACTTTAAACAAGTCAAACCATTCATTCACCTGAACTTTAATCAATACAATCTTCCCATTCCCAATTTGATATAGGCAGATGTCCATTTGCCCAATTTCAATCCGAGGATAGATTCATTCTTTGATGCCATCATTTGCGATCCTCCTTATGGAATTAGAGCTTCAATTTAATAGGAAGGAAATGAGTAGGATCTTTAAGCTAATCGAACTGCCATTTATAGGAGAATGTTTGAAGTGGCCAGAAGAGTATTAAGAAAGGGAGGAAGATTAGTTTATCTGTACCCCTTATTCAAGGGAATGGAAAAGAAAGTAGAGAAAGAAGAAGGATTTGAACTAATTGATTTTCGAGAGTAAAAGATGGTAGAAAAAAGAAGCAGATTATTAGTTACAATGTAGAAATTGTGAATAAAATTATAATATATAAATATCAATTACTCATCAAATTAAATTGCTCATTACAGCAAAATTGAATAAATACACCCCAAAGATTCTTATGAATAGATTTTCATAAAACTTCATTTTATTTCCTCCCAAAAGTTTTATATTATCATAATTCTTAGACTTATTCAATTTATACCCTATATATTCAGGTATCAACAGAAAAACCCATACAATTATTGGCATATAATTAGATTTATCATATCCATCCCAGATATTAGTTTCAAATTTTCCATTCAATAAATAAGTTTTATCAAAAATCCAATAAGTAAAAGTTCTTCCAGAAAAGATAAACATATAGAAGTAAACAATCCAGAATAAATGTTCCCAACATGCCCCATTCTTTCCTTTTCTGGTTAGATTTGTCTCTTCCATTGATACATAAGGCTTTAAACTATCAGGTGTTGCATAATAGATCACTCGTCTCAAAAATACAGTAAACACTATTGATATATTATTGATTCTGAACATTATCAAGAAAAACAAGCAAAACCAAAAGTCGAATCTTGTCATGTCTCCTTAGATCAATGTTCCAACTCTTGTACCTATTATTAACAATTATCCTTAATAAATATATAGTTCACTGAATTTGGTGAATGAAAGGGATAGATCCATAAAGAATTCCATACCCAAATCTAAAAATGCATAAAGGAACATGTAATATTCATGCCAAGCAACAGAATTCTTCTCTTTGAAAGATTACTTTATATATGGAAATAGTTTAAAGCAAGCCATTAGTAATCCAATTATTGTGATATCATATAAAAAGTAACTCAATCCTTTAGAAAGATAACTTGGCCATGTCTTCATTCTAAATGTGTTGAAAAATACAACAAACCCAAGTATGTAAACATAAATTATAAATAACCAATCTTCATTGAATCCAACCCAAAATATCATTATGAAATCTGTTGACACTGCCATTATTATTAAAACAAAATATTCCATCAAAGGTCTGCCATTCTTTGTCTATATTAACTTATTTCCTAATACCAATTTGTAGAGTATATGACCTTTGCAAAATACAATCCCTAATTTAAAAAGCTGTTTATTATTAATGATAATCTTACAATCTATTATTTGAAAAAGGACCATAATCTAACCCAATAGCTAGAACAATCAATCCCGTCAATAAAACAAAACTCTCCAATCTCATTCTACACTACTAAAATCAAAACCTCTATTACAAATGCTATCAAAATAGGAATAACTGTTTCTCTTGCTAATTATTTTATTACATTCTTGTTATCCATAAATATCAAACTCATTTGATCTCCAATTCTATCATAATAGAATGCATTTATTTTACGGAACCCTGCTCCCTTGTTATTTTAAGTCATATTTGATATCATAGATTAACTTAAACTATGTTGGCTTATGGGAATAAGCTTCCTATTTGCCGATTTATAAGTCTATAGGTTGTTCCTTTGATTTGAAGGCATTTACACAAAATTTAAATTTAAAGGCTTCTCCTCTTACACTTCGGTGTTTAATTATTCCACTTAAACTACTTCTTTCCTGGCCTCAATAGAAACGACTTCCTGTTCGGATGCTAAGTATTTCTAGCTCTTCTGAAAGTTCTACGATTTCTAATTAAATTCATCCTAATTAAATTCAGATTCAAGATCTCCCTCTGAATTTATTGTTTAATCTTATTATTCCTTTACCTTTATTGATTCTTGCTATTGTTGTTTAGCACTCTAAAATTTTCCACTTGAAGAAGATGCATTAGACAAATACATTGCTCTTCTAATTTAAAAATTAATAAATATCACATTATTATTCAAACTATTATCCAAATGATTGTTCTTTCCCTCATAATTAGAAATCATATTACTCAAAATAATAAACAAGTATCAATAATTAATATTGTGAAGCCCCCCATAAAAAAAAGATACAATTATAAAATCTAATTCAAATTATAATGGAAATTAATTAGTTATTATCATATTTATAAAATTTCACTCTCCGTGTTATCATGGGCTGTGCAAACACTAAGAACTCTTATTAACATCCTTAACAATCATACCCTTTAAAAAAGAAGTGCAATCCTCAAGACAAGAAAATTACAGAAAATCAGACGTTTTAAATCGTTAAAAACCCTATTTTTCAAAGAAGAAAGGATTCTGACAGAAAAAGTAGGTTTAATCTCGAACAGAATCAAATATTAGAACATCAAAATATTAAATTATTATCATTGTGAATTATTCTTTGATATTTTATTTTTTCATTTACTATTTCAATGTAGAAATCAAAAATTCCCCCTCTCATTTCTTGGATACAATATACAGATTCCAATCGATATTTAATTAATTCAAGTATAAAGGTCATTATTTGATATTGGAATTTATAAAAAGCTATTGAATTCATGTCATCCTTTGGAATCAATTAAATACAATTTATATACTTTTTAATTATTAATTTTGATGTATTAAATATCAATTAAATTTTTTAAAGGATTTTTACTTTTGTTGACTCTTATAATGATTAAGTTTAACAAAACTCAGTTTAATAGTTGATAATAATAACTTATGTGTTTGTAACATAAAATAAAAAAATACAATTAAATAAATTTTTTCAATTAGAAATATCCAAATTTAAGTAATTGAGATCACTGATCATTAATTATCTAAAACTTCAATCTCTGAGTAAAATGTAAAAATAACTGAGTTACTTTAGTTCTCCTTATTATGTATTATCTGTATATTGTCTATTAAATTAGACTAATGATGACTCAATTATTGTTAATTGATAGTTTTTTTCAAGTTATATAACATCACATTTTTGGAATTTATTAAATTGATTAACCTTGAATTTATTAGTTTCCGATTTATACTAAAAAGTGTAAACAATCTTTTTAAATGATTCAAAAGTCCTAGAATTACCAATGATTGCATTTAGAAAATAGAACTTAAAATTCTCTTAATTTATTTTAGATTTAGTATATATTTAAAGCAAAATTAATAATAGATTTACAAACTAAATTAAATCAACTTTCAAAAGATGTTTCTAAAAATTGACTTTTATGCTTCTGTATAAGATCAACTTCATAACTATCTACATCAAATAAATATTTGAAATTTACTCCTTTTTGAGTAATTAAGAATGTACTAACACAAACAGCGACTCTGAATTTAGCATTTAAGATTATTTTGATGCTAAACTTAATTTCTAATAGAATCTAAATGTTCTTGGCAAAATGTCTTCAGTGATCAATCCAAAGAATGACCCAAAATACTTCATTCTTGACTAATTTCTTTTGAAGATCATAATATTTCTTTAATTCATGATCATCCATTTCTTTTTCTAAGGCTCTCATAATTTCGCGCTTTGTAGTTATTAGTGTATTATGAAGATGAAAAACACTTAATAAAATGGAATCTATAATTATAAATATCCCTTATATAATTAGAATGATACATAATTCGTCATAGTATACCCGCAATATTTAATAGTAGCTTATTAGCTATAGGTTGGTTTCTATTTTGTAATCAAAATTTGTCTAAAAAGTACTAATGTTTTGACATATTTCATTTTGTCTTTCATTTATTTACTCTTTACTCTTTTCTCCTCTTTTGTTAATTCATTTATATAAATAAATAATAATAATAGCAATTCATCTTGGAGCACCAAATGCTTCAGGCATTCTTTCTATAGTATATTTGTGATTCTAGATGAACATTATAGGAACACCAGGTATTTTACGGATTCTGCGTTTTAAATCCTTATCACACGTGGCTACTATGAAACATCTATGCTGTTTCACTCGATTCACTAAACAATCATCAGCATAAGTGCCCTTATGATCACAAGTCAACTTCTCAAAACGAGGATCCTTGGATAATCTCAAAGCCAATCTTGTCTTTTATCCCAATTTCTCTAATTCAGCAATCACGCAATCAGAAATATATGGGATGCATTTCCCGAGAAGACAATCCATTGTGTTTTTAAAAATGTCTAGTTTGTTTGAAATGCTGAAATTTAAAAAGTTTGTATCAAGTAAAATTCTGTAGGGAGGTCCAAGGGCTGGATTATGTTTAAAGAATAAGTGACTTGGCTCTTATGGTCTTTGGTATATGAATATTAAAAAATACAATTCTTTTATTTCCACATCATTAACACCTTTCTTCTTCTCTTCCTTTGGCTGCTCTAGATGTCGTTTTTAACATCTTGGGTCCTTTTTTGTAATCATGCGCTTGATTGTTGCAAATTTCTTTGTTTTATGCGCTTTACCCATATGTTAAAATTAAAATAAGAACTTTTGATATAGAATTTGAACAATTATCTTCGATACTTTAAATTAAAGAAGGAGAACAGAATTAATATAGCCTCATTTATAATAATGTTCCTTTAATTCTTATACCTGAATCTTTTTAATCATGTCTATCTATTTCTTAAGAAAAGTCTGTTTTTGCTTGTTCTTCACATTGTAAGGTGACTAAAGCAATTGAATAAGTTTCTTAGTTTGAATCATTTTAACATTTACGGGACTACTCTATTGCTTTTGATTTGGTGATTTCCTTTGCACCTGAGTACGTCCACATTTTGGACTTCCTGGCCGACTTGAAGATGCCTTCACGAATGTGAAACCTTTCTTAAAATCTGGAAGTGTATCTCTGCTAGGCTTTTAAGTCTCCTAATTAATCTAATTGAGATTGTTACTTAAGTAGAACCTGACATTAGCAGTGAAACTTTCTTCTTTTTATTCTCTCCATAAAATTACAAACTTAATTCCTTATAAAATTCATCAATATCATCATTATTATTATCATCCATTTATGGATCGTAGGAATGGAGAGACAAATGTTCGTCATCTGACATTTTTCTTATAAAAATTAATCAAATAACACTATTCTTAATTAAACTCCACAAAACACTCTAAAAAAGCAGCTTCAACCTATAACAATTATCTCAACATATATATAGAAAGAACATTTGATGAAATACAACTTTCCTTTCCAAAGTTTTTCTAACTGCGATAATTTCTTTAAATTCACTTATTTTCTTAGTCTAAAATGCGAATACTCTGTATTAAGTAATTAGAATATTAAGATTATTCAATAATCCTTCTAGATAGAAATTCAATTAATCTGCTTATTTTATTCTACATTAGTGATTTTTATCATCAAAGTTATATGATTAACTAAAATACGTATAATTATATGGGGTAAATCGCTCATTTCAAGTATCAAATTATGACTACTTCCTCGAGAATAGCATGATTATTATTTTGTACCTTAATTTGAATTAATTTAATGTTAGATTTTATAAAAGGCGATTACCTAAATTGAAACAGCTAATCTGCTTTTCCAATTAAATAAGAATAGAATTCACTTAAAAAACTTTGGGAATTTTAAATATGATGTGGATAATATCATAATATTAAGGAAATAATAATATGTAAAAATAAAATAATTTAAATTTGTTATTTTCAAACATTAAGCAACTTCTTTTACGCGGATGGTTAAATGAGAGTATACTTAAATTCACTTTATCTTTATCTTCTGCTGATTCTTCTACAATGTTTTTAAAGTTTATTATAATCAATTATTACTTCAGAATAATTAAAACTTGGAAAGTAATGCTAAAATTCGCAAATTTTATCAAAATATAGTAAATTATTATTTTAGCTAATAAAAGTACCAGGATTACGTTAAATATGGGTTGGAGATTTTTATGACTTATCTCTCACATATTTGTTCGATCTTAATTATATATCCTTTATAGAGGTCTATATTTGAAAAGACTGTAAGTTCTATTGGGATGTTCTAGTTTCATGTTATTTCTGTTGTTATATTTTTACTTAAGAGGGTAAGATTAGAGTATCTTGTTATTATTATTGTAATTAATTAACACTTAGGCAAATTTCTTAGGAAGGTGAGTCTAAACTCTAAATTTACTCCTGAGTAATTGATTGGTGCCGCGTTCCATCTTATTCAAAGGATGCATAACTACCATTTTTGTCTTCTACAAAATTAGTTGAGTAATATAGTTTCTGTTGAATTTATACATCCTTAAATTGAATCTAGATTATACCTTTATGCTCTTAAGCGAATTTATTTTATGGCATGTTCTTATGATTCTCTTTCTATGTATATTTTTTGTTCTATTATATTTCAGAATTAACTTGTCAATATCTGGTTTGTAAATTAGATATGAGCAATCAAAAATTTAGTGACTTTCAGAATTGCATGCACAACAATTAAATCCCTCTACCGATATATTTTACAATTGTTTATCCTTGATCTAATGAAACCTTTCATAATCCTATTTATCTAGACTGTTAATGAAATCCTATCTGTTTATCTTATAAATTTTTGTAAACCCAACACTTACTGCAGTGAATTTTCTAGATTATTATGTAAAAAATTCATTCTCTCCAAATTGTTGTCCAGGATTTAAAATTGTTAATTGAGTTTATGATTTCATTTCAACTAATTTAATTTGACCATAATCAATAAAATACAATGAAATATCTGAACAACTATCTTAAGAATATATAATTTCATTTGGACAATATTTATATGGTTTTATCTTCTTTGATATTTCCTTTAAAGTTTATTCTGAGAAATTATTAAGTAGAAGCTTACAATTTTATATTATATGTTTAAATACCATATACATTAATTCATTTTTTAATTCTACAGATAATTAGTCTTTTATCTATCCGATCTATTAATTAATTATATAAATACTAATTCATGTTTTTGTTCTAAAGATTCCTTTTACATATATTAAAGATAGCTTCTGACTCTGTCTTATAATTAATATGGAATATGATGTTATTTCATATATTTTGTAATTGCATGTAAATTGAAACTAAAGAAATAATAAAATAATACATAAATTAAGATTTTTAATCATTTATAGTAGACAAAATTGATCCTATTTTATTTATTGAAAATGCAAACACACCACAGGCCATAAACATCAATATTATACAAATTGTGGTTTCAATGTAGTTTTATGGAGTAATATCGCCATATCCTACAGTAATCATAGTAACTGTTGCCCAATAATATGAATAACAATATTTAATTAAGATTGATTCTTAATCAATACCCTTATAAATAAGCCAACTAGTATTTAAAGTTTCTGCACTGTTTGATCCTACAAAATGCCAGATGCATGCTAATAAATGAGCAAATAAGCTGATTGAAAATAATAAGGTTACTAGATTGAGATATTCTCTATAGATTTAATTGATATGAGTTTATTGTTGCAATTTACCTATCTGTTCACTTAATTTTACATAACTTACAAGACAACATAAGAATAAAAAGATAGTTGCAGTAATAATATCGTTATAATCTTTGCTGTCTGGTATAGAGGTATTTAGCACAATGACTGAAAAAATAAGTAAGAAGTCAAGTATTAAATCATCCTTAAAATAATATTTCAAAATTGAAAATCGATCATTTATTATCTATTTTTTCTTTAAATAAAATTAATTACATTTCCTTAAATTGTGATTTGTGTATTTAATCTCAGCAAAATATCCAAAGAAAAGTAAATTAGAGTATATAGAATAATAAATGAGAAACTTTCCTCTCTACCCATTTCAAAGCTCCATATAAAAGGATAAATCCATAAAATAGATATAAGAGATAAAGACCTTATGAACTCCCAAGATGTTATCAAAGCGCTACTTTGATCAAATACTGAAATTTGAAAATTTTTTGTAGACATATATTCTCCCTACATAGCAGGCTTCCTTAAAATTTATATTCACTCATACTTTTGTAAATATTTTTCAATGAGAAATTTTTCAGTAACTTTCTTAGTTTCATTGTTGTAAATATAGGCTTTCTTCATTATTCTCTCTTTAAATACTTAAACCAATTTGTCCACCTTTAATAATCCAAATAATTTCTGAGTGGTTTTCTTTTTGCTTGCCATATTTTTTCCCTCTATTATTTGAGGATGAGAAAAGTTTTAAAAAGAAACAGACATATCTAGAATATCTGATTTTTCATTTTAATTTACATCTATTTAATTTGTAATGGGTGAATGACGAAATGGGCGGAAATCCTCATTCTCAATGTAGGATTAGCAGTTCTTTTAATAGTCCGATTCATCAATTTTATTCATAATAAATAAATAATAATTCAACTAAGATTTAAATCATCCTCTAATTAAGACATATTTTTTAGATTTATTATAATATAATATTCAAGATTGTTATTTTATTGAAAAATATAGAAACGAATTTTAATTGTGTAAATTTATTACTAGACTTTATAACTAATAGCAATTAATATTAAATTCTACACCAATCTAGAAAATTTAATTTGTTTGGCGATTGAGAAAATTATATATATTTTTGGCAATTCTTTTTTGATATTTTTTATGTCTTAATTCAAATTACATAAAACCTATAAAAATATTCATATCTATTTGTTAAAATGTTGATAGTTTTTAGTTGACTCTAGCTGGCTTCTTCATATATGAAATGATTTCGTATTTCATAATAGTGCAATTATATAAACTTAAATAATTATAAATTAGGTTTAATATTTTTTCTTAATAATTAATTTTCAAGTTTGATGATTTTCTCTTGAAAGAAAAAACTTAGCAATCAAATTCTATAAACGAAATTATTAAATTGTTACTTAAATTTAGATATGGTTTAGGTAATGAAAAGCAATAATATCATCGAGATCCATCATAAAGTATATTAACATATAAAATTATAAAATGATATCAAGTTTAAGTTGATATATATTAAAGATAAAATTTTATAATGCTTTTTTGAAATGAAAAAGGAATGTCTATTACATATTTATCTATTCAATATATTAAATGGAAACTAAATAATAATTTATATTTTCAGATAGAATCAAATTATTGTAATAGTTGGGACCTGAACCAGAAAGAGAAGATATTTAAAAGCTAGCCACAATGTACAAAATACCAGAAGGGAAACTTTAGAAATGGCTTAATCAGTATGATAAATATGTGCTGCCTTAGAGGAAAGAAACTATAGATTCTGATGATGAATAAATAAACAAATTAATATAAGAACAAAGATAATTATGCTAAGAACTATCAGCTTTGGTGGAATAAATTAATGAAATTCATAAAAAGAAATTCATATCTTATTATTAATGAAAATGGAAAAAATAGATTATGATTATGCAATATGCATTATTAGCATAGAACTTATTACAATTATAAATTAACATGAATATTAATAATGGTGGAAATTCTTTGTTCTGCAAAATAGATAGTTTTGTATATTTGTATAGAATATAATTTTATCAAATTTAAAAAATTCAGTATTTGGATTATAACTGTTTCTTTTGCCCCGCTAATCTTATTGTAATTTGAATGATAATCTTATGCTAGAAGTCTAATTTTGAAAAATTGTGTATAATATAACAGTTTAATAATAATGAATATTAATTAATTAATCAATTTAAAACTTCAAATTTGACTTATCCTTCTAAACATGACATGTAGACGTATTGTTTTTGTTTCATCAAAGATCCCTTTTTCTAAAATAAAATCAAAATAGCATCTCTTGTAAACAATCTCAGACTCACTATATCATCAACAAAGTTTAAATTTAGTCCGACGATGCTATCTATTTGGAGACAGAACTCTTGCAATTTTCCTAATTTAGAATCATCTCTGCATTAATTATATAAACATGCCCAATTACCAACATTATCAATATTCTTGGTCAATTCATAGGCTGTTTATTCAACATATCCAAAATGAAGACAGCCAGATAGAAATGAAAGAATGCGTATGCGTATTTCTATATTATCTTGAAAATACAACTCCTGTGAAACAATAGTAGTATTCTTTTGCATAGTGATAATTTTGCCTCCCTCTTCAAATTTGACTTTCGGTTTGCCTAATAAACTTCTCTTGGTTGTTTTATCTAGGAATTGGAGTGTTGGCATCAAAGGACTTATAGCGTCATCGAATTTAGAAATGGAAGTGTTTGTTAGATTGTTATTTTGTGCATAAGTGTTTGTAAAATTATCTATGTTTTCAAAACTATCTTTATTTAACAACAATTGTTAGGTTTCTCCTAATTAATCTATTTATGATAAGTTCAAAGTGATTGCTTATGGCATTGATTTAACATCTGTTGATTTCTATTCATTACTATCTTCTTATAAAATAGATTGGAAATTTAGATAAATTTATGAATGTGTAGTCTTAATTAAATCTTGCATTTTTTGTTTGAATTATTAAATCTTCTTGTACTTCTGAGAATTATCTTGAAGTGAATGCACACTCTTTTCCACTTGTGATTTGAGATCATCCATGTTTGCTAGGAATGCATCTTAGACTGTTAGAAATACATTGTCGAATGTTAAAGAAGGATATGGACTCTCTTTGCCACTCAGAATGCAATCTTATAACCATGTATACTCATCTACATTAGAATAACTAATCTACGTAAGTTGATATGACGACAACTGTTTTCCTAGTTGTGAAGATATTTAATCAATCTAAATAGTTTGTCTCTTTTATTCACAATTTCTTTGATAACTAAAATATTCTGGGACTCATGCTGATGATCATTTATTATACATTTTAAACTAGCTAGTCAATTCAATTACCATAAGATGTGTTGATATTCCTCGCAATTCGAATCTATGCAAATGGCTATAATTGAGTCATGATCATGTAATTAACATTGTAAATCCTTGAATAAATCATTAATTCTGAAGATGTAGGTTTTCAATTAGAGATCGAACTCTGACCATATGAAATGCGTATTATGAGGTTTATATTTGAGTAAGCATTTTCTCATAATTTAAATTGAATTATTATTAAATAAACTTTTTATAGTTTTTCAAGTACTAATTTAAATATCCAAAAATCATGCTCATGCACTATCACTTAAATGGTTAGTAATAAGGTTCCTCTTCACGTTCGATGTCAATATCTATGGATGATTCAATCAATATGTAAATACAACCAATTGTTTAAAAAATGGTCGTTGTCAACTCTCATTAACTATTGGTGAGAAAACCATCTAACTAAGCCTAAGATATTGTTCATTCCCCCCCTACAGCCAGTTTAACTCCACAACAGCCATCAGAAAAACTTCCTGAAAAAGACATGAAGGATTTATTATTAATAGATGAAGAGCCAAGCATCAAAGAATAATCTATATAAATAACTCCAGAACCAAAAAATAAGAAAAAGCAAATCAAGGATAATGTAGCTAACGCGGAGATAATCATTGACGAAAAGCCTTAGAACTCTTACAGTGATGTACATTGGAGTAAATTAATTACATCCAAAACAAGTATCACTCGTCCATCATTCTAATTTCATTTTCTTTAAGACAAGGCTGCGGAATTCTCTATCAAAGTAACTTCTTTTGAGTGGCTCAAACCTAAATTACAAAATACATACTACTATATAAGTAGTGCTGTCTTAAGTGTTTACTTAAGTTTTTTCATCACATTAATGTTATTCGATTTAGAAGATGGAATGTATTAGCAACCAATCTACTAAGTGATTTTAATGGTATTTTGGTTGATAGATACTATTAATTAAATACTTTTTATTCAATATAAAAATGGAGAGGAAATTATTTTAATGGAAGATCTAGTTGCGAGATACTGTAAATTTCAATCATTAATTGATATCTTGGGCATAATCCCTATCATATTTTGTTTAATTTCAAAAAGAATGCCTACTATTTAATTATTGCATCTCGTTAACATATGGAAAATTAGAAGAGTGTTTTATGAATTGTAAATGTTAATAGGTAAATTCGCATTGTACATTTATTATATATTAGAACTCCATTTCGTTTAATTTATAGCTTTGACTATAATTCAATTTTCGTTGGATAAACATTTAAATTTTTTTGACGAATTCATTGTATTATTCTATAAATCAGAGAATGCTAATGCTCTTACTTATATCGTTAGGCTTCTCATTTTAATTTATTATTGTTATTTTATACATAGATACAACTCTGAAGATAAGTGGAAACTGAATCAGATTTCAATTCAAAATAACACAAAGTAAAAAATTAATGGATATATAAATAAATTAAAGAGTCAATCAACGGTTGATTTAAATTTCCTGGAATACTTACCTCAGTCATATGTTGAAGACTTCAAAAATTAACGTTATATGTAGATACTCTCTAATATACCAATTTTTAAGTCTTCCTTTTCTGAGAAGACTCTCAAGGAAATTTGCAACCTTATTCAAGAATACACTTACAATCCTAATCAAACTATCCTTCTTTAGCAGACTCCTAATCAATAACTGTACTTTATTTTATCAGGGGATGTCAGGATCTCCTAGAAAAGAGAAGGCACCTAAGCAAACTGTGAATTTAAATTAAAAGTGTTAGGTGAAGGTTAGATGTTCAATAACAAAGCTTTTTTCAAGAATTCTTTCTCGAACATTGCTGCTACTTCAATAGGATTCTCTTAAATTGCTTAATTGGATGTTGAACTATTTTAGGAGTGTATAAAGAATCATCATTAGGAAAAATAGAAATACAAGATGATGTTGGATTAAATAGTATAATAGGAATTTTACAGTTTATGTTTGATGCGGTGTTATGCATGTGGTAAATTTCATGACATTGATGAATGTGATCATGTACACTATGTTCCTAAGAGATCTTTTTTAGTTTCTTACATCTAATCTAATGATATATAGGGAAGATTTCCAAAGAAGAGGATTAGATGTAGACAACAAAGAACGAAGTCATTCATATTAAAAATAGAGGAGAATGCTTTGCTCTACCAGTAATTGAATATTGAATCAGAGTTATCTGAAGAACACAGGCATTTAGAAGAGATGATAAGTATTCAATAATAGCATTATTTGAAAGAAGTTACAAATCCATACACGGAAAGATAAAACTCATTATTACAATCTTAATAAACTCCTCACATGGTATCTTAGTAATCTTTAAGAGAATCTATACAATCTCAATAACAGCCTGGACATTAACTAATGGATATTCCAAACATAAGTCCTGTTTAATATGTTCAACAGCCTCCCAGTGGAATTTCGCATAGTTCTTATGCTTAATTATTAAAAGATGCTTCTGTGAATCGCAAGAATTTCAATGGTTCTTCTGATAAGAATTCTAGTGGCAATGTTTTTTCATTACCCTACAGCAGCAATGGAAGCAAAACAAATCCGAATAATGTTATGTAGAATAAGGATAAGGAGGAATTGATAAGTATATAATTGAAGAAGGCCAAATTGAAAGACAGTGTATATTACCATCAGAGGAGAATACAGAATCAAATAGAGAGTGAGGGTCCACTCACTCCATCTATGTATCAAAAGTGTCAAACCACAGCACCTTAGTAGTAGTAGACTAAGGCTTTCAGATCAGATCGTAAATCAAATTCCTGCATTTCTGAATCTGAGAAAGGAGAGTATCAAGTACAGTAACAACAAGAGAAACCAACATCAAAGTATGGCATCGCCTCTTCCAAATTTACTGGGGAAACTGCAAAATAGTTTATGAGAAATCCTTTGGAAATGCCCAACATTGAATTCTACTAATCGTTTGAAAAGAGCAATCAGTATAGCGATTTTTTCCCCTAATACAATGTGGATTAAGCAATTGAAAGTTATAAACAATATTAATAATCTAGATCCAGTGCTCACAAATGATTAAATATATTATAAATTATAATTATTCAACTTCCTTAAAAGTATTCTATCAATCTGGTTGAAGACATCCTCTCAAATAATCATACTATTAAATTTGATGAACTATAGGTGCAGTATTCAAGAGAATCCTTCTTATTATTAATAAAAATACTTAACAACATACCTATGGGTTTAATGCACTTCTTGGTTAGAATGTCATAGCCAATTAAAGACCTTCAAAATTATGAAACCAAACAATTAAAGCAATTATTAGAATGCATTTCTTTAGATTATTTACGATAAGATATCTCTAAAATTACCTTATTTGTGCTGATCAACAATTTAGTCATCAATAGTGGGGTTAGTCTTAACACATTAAGTGAACTCAAAAAAATTTAAAATAGCAAAATAACACTACACCTACCTTCAGCTAATTTTAATACGTAATATTATAATGGAAGCGTTAATTGGTGCATTTTATAAATGCTCGAAAACATCACTGAATGCGCCACTATCATTATTACATTAACAAAATCATTATCATTTGCTACTCTTTTGTACAATGCTCATAGAAGTTTGAAATGCATAAAAATGGCATTCTTCACTACTTCTATATCTTTTGAGGCTACTAATGTATTCATCTGTGCATTTACTTAATTGGTAAATGAAGTTAAACAACATTAAGGCCAGATCAAAGTTGCCCAAGAATCATATAATCTATTGACGGTAGATGATGAAGAATCAGATTTGAATTTGAGTCTAAAAGAATTACACATAACATACTGTAAGATGCTTATTCAACAAGATGTATTCCTTAAGTTTTTGGGGCTGCACTCGATCAAATCAAATTTATAATTAATCGAAATTAATCTTAAGATATAGGACAAAGAGCTTATGAGTTTGAATTAGAAAATAATAAAAAAACTTTCAAAGATACAGGTTGAATTTATGTTTCAAAATAGTTGAGATAGGAAATATAAAAGAATTGAAACTATTTCTATCCTATTTTATCATATATAAAGAATAAAATAATAATGAAACTGAATTATTATTAATAGATTACTTAGCTATAGCAGTTTCAGAAATTGGAGCAATCACTGAAGTATTTATATAGATTTTATTATTTTTAGAGAAGAATTCAAAGACTGATGAATGCAAAATTAACTAAATTATAGGAATGTTATGAAGAATATCTAAAGGATGAGGAATCTCCATTTGGATTTCAGCAATTGGCAAATTAGGCCAGTAATTTGAAATAGAAAAAAAATAAGTATTTTCATCCTTTTTCAGGTGATTCAATGCCTTAAACTACTCATCTAGAAGATCAATAATAACTTTGAAGATTCTATTCTTAAAATGTAACATAATACAAATAACACAATTCAAGTATTGGCGATTAATATGTTTCTAGATTCAAGAATTATCAAAAAATTAAAATAGAAAGAAGGTAAATTGATTCATTCTAAATTGGATGCACTAGTTTAGCAAGTGCTGCCTACAGAGAATTCCATAAAGGTTGCACAATGGTTAGAATTATTTATGAAATTGTGATTATTTCAATCTTTAAAAATGAGTAAATATGATTCTATCTCTTAAATTTCATAGTATTTTAGGATGTATCAAGAATTAAGGTATTAGAGAGTGAACAAAAAATTGAGAATTTTATTTTGAATTAATTTAAAAAAACACAAACAATCAAACTCCCCACTCGACATCTCGCAATGTCTCAAAATTGTTGAAAGAAGCTACTTAATTGTGTTTTTCTCCAAAACATATATTTACAGACATAATATTATTATTTAATCCCATCCATATCCATTTTTATCTATCCTAACTGTTTTTATCAGTAATTATGTTTTTTCCAAATTAATAAATAAATTTCTATTGTTCCTATCAAATGAAGAGCATCGAAAAATCGGATTTAATCCCTTTTTCAGAGCTCTGGCCCGTGCAATTTTCTATTTATTAATTTGGTGAAAGGACCTAACTTTAGAATATATATAGATCCCTTATCAAAACTGAGAAGGACTTTTAAAACATTACTGATTCATCCATACACCTGAACCTTCTAAATGTTTTATAATTAACGCCATTCAGGGCAGAGTTTTTTTTGGAAATTTTCCATTATAAATTATATTTGAATCTAATATCTAAACTGAATATAATTATTACTCTATATGGATAGATATAAAATGCATTGTTTGTTTATTAATGGTTCTTAAAAAGAAAGTGATATTTAATATAATAATATACTATCATTAACAGCAATTTTCTTTTTCTTTTCTACAATTTGTTTTTTTTGTTATTGATTTGCTTGGTAAATCATCATCTAAAGTTAAATTATCTCCTTGTAATTGTTTAACATTTTTTTACTACTTGGAGGACATTGAACTAAAAATTTCTATTAATCTAGTTAATCTATACCACTAACTAAGTTGGAGAAGGCCTCTTCTACATTTAAGCCATTTTATGCTGAAGTTTCAATATACCCAATTTTATTTTATTAACAGAGTTTAGCTGCTTCTACACTTCTAACCATCTATAATCATTTTAAGGATATACTCTATCATTTGCTTAGTCTATTTTATTTCCAATCATCATGATTACAATATTTTTTGGAGCATACTCTTTTATTTCACTAAGCCATTTTTCTATGTTTGTAAAAGTTATTTCTCTTGTAATATCATAACAAACGAAAGCTCCCACTGCTCCTCTATAATAGGCATTTGTTATTGCTCGATATCTTATATTGTTTAAATTTTACCTTTCTTATCCAGCAGTATCCCAAATCTAGCATTTCACACTTTTATTTTCAACATTAATTGTCTTTGTTGAAAATTCAACTCCAATTGTGGGTTTGGAGTCTAAGATAAATTCATTTTTTACGAACCTTTACAAAATATTTGTTTTACCAACTCCAGAATCTCCTAAAAATTTTTAATAAATTAATTTACCTATTAGGATTATTTTAAACAAGAAATCATACTCGTTTTCATTGCATCTAGTCATCAATAATTTATTTAATAAAATTATGGAATTTGCTAATTTTTCTAAATTTATAAAAGTAGAATTATCATTACAATCCTAAAGATAAATTACCAATAATAAATTTACATTTCTTCTTTTGTTAAAATGTATAAATAAGAATGATAACTAATTAATCATTGCAATAGAAAATTATGAGATTAAACTATACAATTTATACATATTTATAGTTTTATTTGGCTATAACAAATATTTTTATATCAATATATATATTATATACTGTATTATAACTAATAGTTTTCAAATTAATTAATTATTTAGTATCGTATATAATCCCACGGATTCACAAATACTTTTAAACTAAATTTGATCAGCAACTAGATCTTCTTCTTCAATTTTATATAATGCCTCACTTACTAATTCAAGTAATTACACCTCGATTCCTGACAAATTCACCTTGTCTTTGCTAATATAACCATCTTTATCTCCATCTAATTACCTGAAAATCTTTTTTATATTTAAATCAAACTAGCAAGTTTTAGAGTTATTAATTTTAGTTCTTGAGTCTTATCTTTACGACAGGTTGCTAGTGCTTCTATTGTTCTACTTTAATTCAATTTATTTTATATCATCTTGATCCTATTTGTTATAAGGTTGTTAATAAAGTTATTCTTTACTAATTTAATTTTGAAACTTAGAATTATTTTAAATCGATTGTTCTCGTCTAATTTTAATAAATTAATTACTATTTCTATTCAATTTTTTTCTTTCTCTCAATTTAATCCGTAAATAGCTTTTTAACTTGCTATTATTGAGTTTATTTTTTATTTTCTTCTTTTTAGTATACATTATTTATTTACGGATTAGAATACATTTTTTAGAATTCTTGTTTAAGCTGTTCAAATTTGTATTGTTTTCTTTCCTTTTCTTAAATGTAAGGCTTTTCGTTGACTGGTGTGTTTGATCTTTCTTTTTTATTGCTGGTTGATCTATTTTGCTAAGAGTGATTACGACTGCTTATGTCTGATCTTCTTGGTTAAAAGGATCTGAGTGATGATTGCTCTTTTTAAAGCTAAAAAACCTATTATTATTTTTTTATATGTTATTCTTCTCCCTTTGATTTTGTTTAATAGCCGATATTAAATAATGAATTGTCTTCTACTTTCTTTTTTTATTGGATGGCACTTTTAAAATTTGGAGATATATTGGTTTTAGGTGTGGTTTCTGAAACTATTTACTACCCCTTATAAATTTAATTTTATTTTTGTTATTCAATCTTATTTTATTGTTGAGTATTTGTTTCTCCATATAGTTTATCATTTGTATTGATGGACCTAGGATTGTTTTAATTATTTGCTAATTATTAGAATAACTTACACCTAGCTGATGTTGGCAAATTCCATTACATTTTAGAATTTGAATTGGCCTCTATCTTCCTATTAATTTTTTTCTACCATTCTTCATAACTCTTTTATGCTGATACCTAATTCTCATCAGAACTGGCTGATATTATAAGGCCAAAGTCGCTCTGTTTACTACTCCTTGTTTGAGATGGGCCTTTGTTCAAAAATTATTACTTATTAAATTCTGCAAATCTAGGCGAGGGTTCACGTTTTAGTTATTGCTTAATTTAATTTACGAGATATTCTAAGCAATCATTACCAAGTTTGTATCTTTAACAAAAAAGCTCAACTTCTAATTCAACATCCTCTCCTTCATATACTTTTATCTCTTCGGTCCCATCTTCCATCTATAAACTAACTATAGCAATTGGTTGAGATTCAGCATTTGTCATAGACATTTTAAATTCTGCGATATTTATATAAATTATTTCTCTAGAAATAATAAAATATAGAAGTTATTATAAAAATTCATTTTTCATGCTGTTTTTAATACGAAATATGACATTAAATATACTAGTTAGAGGTTTATTCATAATTTGAAAAATAAAAATCCTTTTCATATATTAAATTTTCAGAGATTAAATAAAATCACAAATGATTAAGATTATAATTAGTTATTTGATTATATAATTTAATGAATTAAGGGAATAATTTCATGTAATTTTTCTTTATTAGATAGTGAAGAACTGTTGGATGGTTTTCGCATTTTTGAATGCCAAAGCCAGGGAAATGAAAGTGCTTTTAAAAACCTATTAAGCCAAGTTAAAGAAAATAGAAAACAACTCAGCAAGCAGTTATACTAAAAACAACCATTTTCAAATGAATCTTCTTAATTAGCTTCTACTAATACATAGTTTTCTTTGAGTAGATAAAGTTTTAATGCAAACGAAGAGAATGTGTCATGTGAAATAGAGAGAGAAACTATTAAACAAAACCAGCTCTAAAATGTTATTAAAACAATTTAGAGAAAAATAACTGACTATAAGAAGCATACAGATGTTGTTCTAGAATTAATAAAAGGGTTTAATAAAGACAATGAAGCTGCTTAACATGAAGGAATTTAATCAAATTAGTTACTCTATTAAAGTAAAAAAAATGCTGTGGAAGCATAGGAATATCATTAATTACTAAAAAATGCTTAGGAGATACAAAAATAAATGTTAATTGATAAACATTCATTAATTTAATAAGATATAAAGGAATTATAAAATGACTATATTGAATATAGATTGAAATATTAACAGAAAAGTTAAATAATATAATAATAAAGAGAAGCGATAGCAGAATTGGATGAGAAGAAAGCAAAAATATTGTTAAAATAGCAGGAACAATCCACTGTGATTTTCTATGCGAACACAATAAAGTTATTAGATGAGATGATCAATAAAGAGGATCCAAGAAGTTTATTTCAATACTAATTTGAGCAAAGATAACAACTGATTAGATAAAATAAGAAACTAACATAATCATAAGTTCAATCATCAAATCCAGCATCAGTTATGAATATTTTCGCAACTTAAATAGAGCAGGTTGAATAAGAAATGCTTGAATCTCCGAAAGCAGAAGAAAAAGAAAAAGATCTGAAATTATTAGAATTAATTAAAAGCTCTAATAATCAATTAAATGAATTAGATATACAATAAGATCTATTAGCATTTGCAGATATAGTTGTTCAAAATTATTAAGAGTATAAAGAATAGTTCGATAGGTTAGGATTTCAGTTTATATAATTAAATGAAAAAAAATTTGAACTTTAATAAATTACGAGAGAAACAAAGTATTGTAAATATCCTGAAACTTCAAATGGTCTCTTACCTTTGAAATTATCAGATAATTATAATAATAATTAAATTACTTTAAATATTTTATCAACAAGTGTTGAATTGGATTTGAATGAATAGCGTAATGAAAATGAAGTCAAACGAATTCAAAATGCAGTGATAAGATTATTTAATTTTTTGAGAAATCACGTGGGAAGAGTTAACCATTTAATTAAACACATATAAGAACTAAGTGAATTGGTTCCATCAACGATATTTTTGGTTTTAGAACAATTAAAAAACTCTTTGTATATTATTGAGATAATCAGAACTCCAACATAAAAGAAGCCATCAATGTTGGCTACAACAGTTTTAGAGCAAAAGTAAGAGTTTATCCATGTTAAACATACCAAGTTATTGTCTCAAAAATAAATGCTAAATACTGTTCATATTCCTAAGAAACATGTCCATGCATCAATTACAAAGTTTAAATACTTAGAAATAGTACAAAAATTTATTAAGTCTTTGCTCTCGGATGAAATAGAAAGATTATTTATTCAATAAGATATGGTGGATGAGTAATTAAAATAAATTATCGATTTAGATTAACCAAGGAAGTTTAGAAATATTGTGAAGAAACCGATCCTGACGAAGAAGCATTGGTGAGATATTTAGGAACCAAAAAGATGTTCTTTCAACATCATTTATAACAAAGGACTAGAGGAATGTTGAAGAACGCTCTCTCGAAATTGGGCGAAATACATTAGAAACTCAAATTTTAAAGTTAATAACGTAATTAGTATTTTTATATATCAGTTCGATTAAAAGGTTTAGATTTTACTGAAGGAAAGTTTAAAAGTGGATGTGCTTTTAATAGTAATGAACTTCAAATGAAATCATGCTAGCGTACAACATCCAATCATTTTGTATCTAGCTAATAATCATTTGATAATGTCTCGATAAATCATTCAGAACATAGCAAACCTCATGGAGGTAAGGATGTATTTCATTTGTTAAAGAAATTGACAAATGTTAATGATATGCAAGAGATAGCATAGTAAGATTCTGAAGATGTAAATATATTGATATTCATATTAGAGTATTGATAAAGAGAGAGATAAATTGAAAAAATAGTAATACTTTATTAAGAGTTAAGTCAATACAAAAGATAAAACACAAAAGAATCTGGATGATGATGTATTTTACAGGTTAAATCCGTAAAGGCAGAATCCAAATAAAGAATTAAGAAATTAATTAGGCATTTTGAGACACATGAGAATTAGTAAATTTATTGATAATTTTTTAGGTGCTGCAAGAAGTAGCTGTTCCATTGATTAGGATATGAAATCTGAAATTTGGAAGATGACTTGTCCTGTTAAACCTAGTAAGATTATGAATCGCAAAGATACATTTAGAAAACTATTCAATTCTTCCGATAAGAAATAAGTGGACCTATTGTCCCAAAAGAAAATGTAAACTAGATCATTTTAGACCAATCTGAATTAGTTGCCAAGAAATACATACACTTCAGGAGATGATGCAGAAGCAATTTGGAAGAAAAAATATCGAGCAAAGAAAATTTTGAATGCTATTTCGGTAAAGGAAAACTAGAAAGAGAAATTTGGGTTTTTAGAAGTTATTTGATATTATAAATAATTAATTATGGAGAGATTGAAAGATATTGAAAGTATGGCACATGGACATGCAGGTGCATTGGCTGGTCTTTTTTCTACATGCTTACTCTATCCGCTGGAAAATATAAAAACAAGAATGGCAGCATCTTAATAAAAAGAGGCCATTCAGGAAGTCATCATTAAAGTTTGGGATTAAGAAGGTCTAAGGGGATTTTTTAAAGGAGTAACCCCATTAGCATTAGGCAACTATATTTCGTATGGAGTTTACTTTTTTTGGTATGAATATCATATTTTATAAGAAGGTATGAGTATTTTAAACATTTGTTTAGAACTGATATTTCTAATTCATTTGCTTTAATTTAACCTTCATTAGCATCAGCCATTCTCACAACATTCGTAACAAATCCATTTTGGGTAGTTTAGTCAAGGATGACTATTTGTAAAGATAATCTTAATTTTTTTCAAAAAACTAAAAAGATAGTCGAAACTGAAGGATGGGAAGTCTTATTTAAGGGTCTATAAGCCTCTCTGATATTAACTATTAATCCAATTATCCAATTTATTATTTATGAAGCGTATAAAAGGAGGTTCTAATATGCAGAAAATTAAGCCTTTGTAAATTTCATTGGAGGAGCCATCTCCAAAGCTGTTTCGACTATTTTAACTTATGTTTATTTTTTAACTTATTTTAGCCTTACTAACTTCTAAGGACCAAAATCCATTTCAAAAAAAATAGTTCAAAATCATATTTTTCTGCTGCTGAAAAGATATTAAAGAGTGAAGGAATATAAGGATTATTTAAGGGTGAAACATTAATATTAATAATTTAGGTTTGACACCCAAATTATGTTAATCAGTATTGAATTCTGCATTCTTACTCATGTTTTACGAAAAGATTTATGAAATCATCAAATAAGGAATAATCCTTATAATTATTGAAATTTTGAAATATCGCAAAAAAATAAGAAAACTTTAAAAATTAAAATGAAAATGAAAGTTTATTTTTTATATATTTTATTGTTATTTAAATCAAGCTATTTATTACAGTTTTTCTTTGTATAATGAGTTCAATAAAATTCTAGATGGGCACTTTTTCGGATTCTTGTCATCAAAGTCTTTTTAGGTTATAGAATTAAATTAACCTTCAAAAGCAGGAATCATTTTAATTTTCTAAAAATTAAATTCAGCAATTTACTAATTCAGGATCAACTTTATTAAGTTTTCCAGTTTAATACGGTTTGTAAAAAGCATTATTTGTAGATTGATGAATAAAAGGTAGCTCTGGAGATATTGGGCTTTTGAAACTACTTTTATTTGCAGTTGTTAGAAATTCTTCCCTTGGAATTGGTTTTTTATAGAAGTTATCTTGATAAGTAGAATGAGTAGTCATAGGCATATCTACGACAGTTGGATGATGAGGTGGATTAATTTTGAGAGATGACATTCCTCCTCCAGCATAATCAAGCTAAATATTTATCAAAGATAAGTACTCGATATGCTGATGAACTACTAAATGGGATTAAAAACACTTTTTATTCTGGTTTTAAAGACTCTGCTGGCTTAGCATCAGGATGACCTTAATATGTACTCTAAATTTATGGAGTTATATAATACTCTTTATATAGTATCTATATCCATTGGCAATTAACTCTTGTAAGTTACATTGTGATCAATTAGAGGTATTTACCTTTATTTACCATGTGTAATAAATTCCCTTTAATATAATGATTCTTATCCTTTCTTAAAATCATTGGACAGAAGCATTTTAGGACATTTACATTATCCGCAAATGCATCGGCCGCAAATACAATCTCCTTTTAGATGGTTGAAGAATGCTTCATTCTTAACTAATAATTTTCCAAAATGAGTCGACAACAGCTGACTCTAGTAAGTATTGGATTCTAGTGTTGAATATCGCGAATTGGCTTTGTAATCTTATTCACTCATAATATATATTAATATTTATAAAATGATCTTCATTTTGAATATAACATTTATTCCTACTCAATAATTAAGGATCCGTTTCATCCTTTCAACATCCTCGTTTATATATTAGGCTTATTATATTTAGTCATCATATTGAGATAATAACTAAAGTATTTAAGATCTCTAATGATTTTAACAGGAATCATTTTGGTTTAGGAATATTTCTGATATGGAATTTGAACTTCCATCGAAGGTGTTATCTAGCTAACTTTTCATGCTATCATCCAAAAATCGTTAAAATTATTCACTGTTAACTAATTCCAAAGCACATTTAAAGAGTTCTTTTTCAACAACTTTTTTTTATATTCCTCTTCTTTTGATTGGCACAATATTATTAATCCTTAATTCATATTCATAAATTAATTAATTTGAATCCAAACTACTTTTGATTTCCGAGAAACTTAGTTAATATGAATATTCTGGATGTTTATCCATAAATTCTTTGAAATCTCCTTTACTGTTTACTTGCTAAGGATAATTCATTGCTTCATCCTATTTAAAGACTATTTTTTACAAGAGATATTTTGATTAAATCAAGAAAGAGCACCTGTAATAAATCTCTTAATACGTTTAAATCTTTTTTCTTATCAAAATATTGCGCTCCGATTACAGCTTTAAGGGTCTAGGCTAATATCTTTGAATTGTTTCTAGAATTATTTAGATTCCCCATATTACTTTAAATCTGAATTAGGGTTGATTGAAACGAACATTTAAGACTTCAATCCTAATTAAACTGCAATATCTGCTAAATTTTTCTCTGATAAAACCAATTGCTTCAACCTCCTAATTTCAGAGTAGGTTTTGAATGTTTTATGAGTTTTATTGGGTAGACTAGTAAAATAATTTAATTCTTTAAGTCATACTCTTAAAAAAAAAAGAAATCATTGTAATAAAAGTCGATCAGATCTTAACCTAATTCAATCAAATTTTCGTTGATGCCTTATTTTAAAGGATTATCTTTATTTCTTGACATATACTCTTAATGGTATTATTTGAAAGTCATGGCTTTTTTTAGCAACTCAGGGTGTCGAAATTCCAATAATTTATTCGTGGTTGAGTATTGTTTGTGGTTAGATTGCATATAAATATATTAAATATAAATAAATTTAGAGTTAAAATTTTAATCAATCATATTTTTCTATGATAGAACACAAGGTAAGCATCTATGCGAGATATTTGATCATATGAAAGTCTTGCGATTTCGTCATCATTGTATAGAAAAAACTAAAGAGATTGATAACAGGATAAAAATACTTATGAATTACGCAAACATAGTGACCTTAGTCAATGGTTCCAGAGTGTACAATCACTGCTTATAAATGATACTTTGTATCAACGATATCTGTGGAACAACAGCTAGAAATGATGATTGGAACTTATACTTTTTGATGTTTATGATTAAGGAAAATCATCTTGCAATAAACCTCTAATTTAATTTTTAGATGCAATTAAATATATGAATGTATGCATATCTAGCTTAAACACTACACTATAATTGCAAAATTGGAGTTTATCAATAAATCATATAACAGCATTAAATTGGAACAATCTTAATTAATAAAGTGTGATTTATCTGAAAAACATAATAAGTTTAATCAATGGCTTTAGGAATCAAACAGAAAAAGAATTCAATAAAGGAGGCATTCTTAAATTTGCAAACCAAGAAACTGTATAGATTATAAGAAATTTAACTTAATAGTAATTTTCTAAAGAATATATTTCAATAGTCATTATCTTGAGGCTTTATCTTATTTCGATCGAATTCTAATTGACTCAATTCCTCTAATCTTAGTTAATTATAGAATTCATAACCAATATTAATGAATACAGGAGGGAAGATGATTTCTATTTGAAAAATTGATCTTCATCAAAATTAATTTTATTTTGATTTCGACTTTAATTAATGCTCAAATTTAATATTCAAATGTTTAATCTCTAATTTGACGATTTTCTACTAAATCGTTACATTATTCTACTATATTCACCTGTCTCATGTTATCTCTAGATATTACATTGCATTAAAGTCGCCATTATTGATCGTTTACGCGAAAACCTTTTAAAGAATAATCATATGTTTATACTTATATACCCTCATCTATTAAAAATGATTCTCATTTTTATCTAAAGGTGATTCATTAAAATTTTTCATCTTCAAAATTTCGAAAGTTAAGTTTAATCAGATGGTATTTTAAGTTTTTCTTAACAAACAATTTCCCCAATTGCTGAATCATTAATTTGTGATTAAAATCTCCCTTAATGGTTTAATCCCACAAAAATTAACCAGTTTAAACAGAATCCAACGAATAATAGCAATCCATTCGTGAGTTAAAGATGTTGGAATTATTAATTGTAAAACACATTCCTAAGAAACAAATTGAATAAAACTTGTATAATAAATTAAATTAATGAATTTAAAAGAGTTGAAATTACAAATATCGTTCTTTCGATCTATAACAAATACTTCATTAAGATGTTTAATTTGTGCTTAGGATGTACAATTCAATCGAAAAGAACTATTATTTAAAACAGAATAAAACGCTCACTTTTTTCTTATAATCATCTAATGATTGTAATACAATATTATTTGATTTACATTATATTATTAATCTAATTCAAATTGGCTTTGATTTAGGATATAATTACTTATAAGGTACTTTGTATTTGAATGTTATTGTTTAAAATTCAATTTGCAAAAATATTAAAATCAATAGTTGAAGGTAGGAAAAGTTAAGTTTTTAACCTTTGCCTTTAATAGAATACCAAAATTTTGTTAAAAATATTTTAGACAATGTTAGAACAATTTGTTGATAAATAACAAATGATAGAGTCTTAATATGTGTTTCTCCTTAACAGGATTAATAAATAAATAAATAAAAATAAACTATTAGAAGTTAATTCCTCACTGCTTTGAGAACATCACTAGAATTTATAAGAGAGGATAAGGAAAAGATGTTCGATTTTAACAGCATGGATTACAATAATATTAATTTTCTTTTTATCAAGCCAAACATAAGTTAAATAGCATTACAACTCTGAGCAATAAGCTTAAGTGAAAATGTATGAAATTTGGCTATATATTTATTTTAGTTAAAGGGACTTTTGAGCAGAACAATTTTCCATCACTAAAATAAATGCATCTGATGTATAATAGACTCTTGGTTAAATTATAATTGAGGTAACAATTGCTTTTCCAATTCCTTCAAAGTTAAAAATACTAAAAACTGTTTAATCAGAAGTAGATTTAAAGGATTTAAAAAACCTAATGTATTTGACTGAAATATATAATTTCAACTCTAATTTCTTAATTATTTTTCGAAGAATTACAAAGTGTTAAAGATAGTATTCGATATTTCGAAATTATTATTCGATGTTTATACATCCTTAGAAAAGGTTTCTTAAACATAAAGCATTTTTAGAGAAGTTTTTTTTAATTTTTTTTACTTATTTATTTATTATCTACCCATTCTCTTCAAATACATAAACTTAATTTCTTTATGAATATCAAATCTTAATATATATATATAAGATTCATCAAATTATTGGTGAAATCAATTTTATATTATATTTTGTAGAATGGATTGGCAGCGCACAAAAAACAGTTTGATAATCTTATAGTTAATATTACTTTTTAAACATAATAATTTTTGTTAAACCAATTTGATGTAATTTGACAAAATTTTCAATAAGTCTTAATTTTCTTGTCAATTTCTAACATTCTTTGATAACTTTTACAATTTATGGATAGCTGATATCAGAAATTATTATTAAAATATATATAATATATATTAAAAGGATATTTGGAAATGATGTGGGGTGGCATAATTGAGATAGGTTAAAAAGAAAATTG